AATATCTTTTAAAGGCAAAAGACCCTAATACCCTTAATTTCCTTTAATAATTACTAAATAACCTTCATCATATATTTCCAATAATCATTGAATTATTTCATTCTTCTACTTTAGTCACCAAACTCTGAAACTTTTCAATTTAGTCACTAACCTGGTATTGCGGATGTTACATGAAGTCGATCAGAAATTACAAAAAACTAGGCCTACTTTGGGGTATGACAACTCTCCCCTCCTTAAAAGAAATTTTGTCCTCAAAATTTACCTAGATCATAACGATACAGAAATTGAGTTCACCACTTCTTTAGGCTACTACAACAATGCTTGATTACCTTACTAAACCTTATCCATTAGAACAAGTTTACTTAACAAAACCATATCTTATCGCTATCCAAACTTTGAACAAACTTCTATTAGTAGAGTCAAGCAGACTTCAATTAAAATACATCCAGAAGACACTCAAATTTTCAGATTCAACTTAAGTCATTACATACCAAATCTCATTGTAGTTTAGAAACTTATAATCCACCTATGACAGTTACACTTTTACTATGTACGCAAACACTTTTTTTGGATCTTCCGATTATTCCAGAAGTTCTCTAATTGGTTTATCGAAGCAGAACTTAAGAATGACACCTTTTTACTTGAACTTTAAACCATATACTTCACTTTAACTTGCTCTTACGACTATTCTTGTCTCATAATGTTCTCTGAAACTTCCAAGACTAAATCAAATTCAACCTGAAATCTTGATAGAATTCATTATGCTTCCTCATCCACCTAGTCAAACATTTACTCCGAATCTGGATCAGACCTTAAATCTCATAGGCTTCAACTAGTTCGAGTACTTTGTTCGGGCTCCAAATCAATATATCCTTATAACTTAAACCACTGCAAATTAGTTTCAAGAATACTTCTACAACCATGCATCCAATTGGTAACGCCAAGGGAACTGCATCTCGTAAAAATCTCACTTAACTATGCATTATTACTATTATGATCCTTTGAAGACTGGCTCAGATATACTTTCTTTTTCTTTCACAAAACAACCTTAACGGCCAGAGCATTAAGGTGCACTTGTTACAGAGGAATGATTTAATTTCAGAGTCTTGGCTCCGAGGAGTACGATGATAATTTAAGGGCATGTATTGACTAGATGTCCTTCAACTGTCAATCGACCGATCTACCCGAAAGACTTGACTCAACCTAGGCTCTGATACCACTAAATGTAACACCCTCAAACCGATACGGGTGACCCGATCCGATCTGAGGTGTTATATTAGGGCCGTCAGAGCGACCCACAGTAAAAATCCAAGATAAATTAAATCTTTTGTTAAAACATGTAAAATCATAAAACAATTTATAAATATAATACAAGTTTAGAAAATCATTCATATAGTACAAACAGAATTAAAATCATACAAGTTTCAAAATTAGTATAAAAATTAAATATGAACTACATGCCCCTAATTATGCTTGTATCGTACTTTGCAAGCCAAGTTGAATGAACTCTTTACTGAAGTCAATAGTTGCACTAGATCGGTTCTTTTAACCTAAAATTATGAGTAAAAGAGTGAGCTTTGGGGAGCTCAATAATACATAACTATCAGGTGATGCTGAAGGGCATACAAATAAATGACAAGCATAAAAAATTTCTCATTGATTCAAGCATCTACAGGTTTTCGTGATGAGTTGAGGTTCCACTAATATTTCTTCAGTAACAGACAAGTAGCTTATAGCTCAAAGGAAACATTCAGAGGACCAAGTTCATAGATTGAAACATATGTCTAGTATGTTTTTTTAAAGCCAGAATAAAATGTAATCATAGTTTAAAAACATTAGTAGTTATTCAGTAAAACAAGTTTTTAAAATCATTATAGTACCCTCCATCCAAATACTCTAGGTGAAACTTCCCAGGACATCATCCATAAGGACTTACCTTAGACCTATAGGATCTAGGAGTCTAATATGGATGATGAGAACATAAATGATTTACTAGCTAGCTGAACCTCAGAGACTCCAGAATCCTACCCAATGTATACCCCAATAAAATAGTTTCAGATATAATCATTAATATTAGAAAACATAAATCAGAAGTTGGGTTTTTATTTAAAATACATAGTTTCCCTCCATCCATACACCAAATGCAGTACTCCAGAACAAGCATCCATAAGGACTTACCCTAGATCCCTAGGATCTAGGAGTCCAATATGAATTATCATAACAAAAAGAATTTATCAACTAGTTGAACCCCAGAGTCTCCAGACACATACCTAGGCAGTACCCCAATAAAATAGATCAGATAACAGATAGTAATATCATAAATCAAGAGCTTATTGTACCTTGTGTCAGAAATCAGATATCAGAAACCGTTTTTTATATAAATCAGAGAAAATATTTTGTTAATAGGGAACACACTTGAGGATCCATATAATTTTTTAATGCACTTGGAAATTATCAGGAATAGGAAGTATGAATTTACACAAAAATTGATCAGATTTCATAATCGATGTCCCTATTAAAAGGGTTTAATTGCTAACAGATCTAAAAGAATATTCAGAGGTTGATGCTTCGAGACCATTTAGGATTTTTGGTGTATCAAAAAGGTATTTATGAACCTTTACATCAGAATAAATTAAGATTTTAGGTTGATTCCTCGAGTATGGTCCCGATTAAAGATATCGGTAAAATAACGGATCAAACCAGACGTTCAAAGCCGATACGCAGGGAAATTTAAGAGTCCAAAAACATCCACAGAGTATTTGGGAACTAAGACATTCAGATATTCACGATTATAGATATATAAAAAAAGGTTTCGATATCTAGGCATGAAAGGATACTTTAGTCACTTTGAATCTTTGGGGAATTCCGGTAAAACAGCCCACCGAGGATAAACGAAAATTTGCGGTATTAGAGATCCTTGACAATGACATCAGCTCCCAAGTCAAATTGAACTACAAAGGTCTCATCAATGTGGTACGTATCCAAAATTCTGACAAGAACACTTCATATATGTAGATTTCTTATTTCGAAATGTGCTTTGAAATTAAACAACTTATCCTCTTAATTTCTTTGCATGGATCCCAAAGTTATTCAGGAGAATTCGTACATAATTAATCAACTTTATTATTATATTTTTGGCATGATAGATACAGCTTCCATACTCGAGTCGTACTTCATAATCCTTATGGAAAAAATGGCATTTAAGGTTTTACTAATATTCCGAAACTTATCTTCAGTAATTCACTTAATCCAAGTCATAAGGTTATTTGGGGTCCTTCTAAAACTCAAGGGTATTCTGATTATTTTAATGCCTAGGGGTATTTCTATCATTTAAGTAAATTCAGTCGTACGAAAAGCATTTGGTAGGAATAATTTCCAAGTATTACTCAGAGATCAGGAATTTAAATCGTATCTTCTCAAGTTTAGAAGTCACTGTTGAAAGCTTTCCTAATAGATTAAGAATTTAACATGTAAATCAAAAGTCTTATAAGTTTTAAGGATATTTTGCTCTTTTTTAAGTCAGGGTTGACAATATAAATTCTTAGCGGGAGTAAATCAGGATTTTAGAGTTCAAAAGCTAACTTATTTCAACATAATATTTATATTGGTCTTTTAATTCATTAAATGGGTCATTCAAGTCCTAAACGGTTCATTAACAATATACTGAAATCAGAACAAGTTCAGAATAACCAGTGTAACACCTATCCAACTCGTATTTAATCATGCCTTGAACAACTAACCAACATGTATCCTAAAACATACATAGGGTAATATAATATTTTTCTCGATATCTATGCCAAAATGGTTGATCAAATAAACTCCATTTAATCGCCCTTGAACTTGAATTCAACGTCCCAAAATATCTCGGATACAAGGTAAAATGAATTTCATCATAAACGAAGCTTAAACGTGAAAATCGGATGATAAAACGCTAAAAACAACTTATCGAGTTGGAATTTGGCAAAATGAACCGCAAAATTAGACTCAATACATCAAAAAACCTTATGATAAGATGTCTTGGTGAAAAGTTAATGTCGATTAACGGTCGGTCAATAATGGTCAGTGCGGGTCAACGCAATCAACGACTCAGGCGCACGACTCATTCAACTCGGCTTAGGTCAGGTTAGAGGGAAAATTCAAACTGGTAGGTTGACCGAAAATAAGCCCACGAGCGATGACGACACGTATGAGCGTGTGTGGCCATTTTCGGTTGTCAGCCAATCACCAAAATATGCATAATTGAATTTTGCAACACGTGGTAACACTCACCGACGCTGGTTGGCTACAGAGAAAGATGGAGGACTGGCTAAAGCTTCACTGAAACTTCTTTCTCCTCACCCCTCCACACACTGACGACGGTGAGGGTACAACCGGGTATTGACGGACGCGATACAACAAGAGGAAAGCAATAACGAGGGTAGTGTTGTCATCGGAGCGAAGAACGACGGCGAAACGGAGGTGGGAGATTTCTTGAAGAGAGAGAAAGAAATAAAGTTGGAAGAGAGAGAAATATGTTTTTATTTATTTTTCTCTAACCGAGTGTTGGTTCCAGCTTTTTGATATTTAAATCCCACTTTAAAAAAGGTAAAATCACAAGTTTGACCACTGAGTTTTCAAGATCTCCAAAATTGGGTTAAAAGTTACCAGAAATTTCATTTTAGTCTCAAATCTAATCGAACTTTAGAATTGAAGCCGATAAGAAATTAGAAAAAAAATTAGGCCTAATTTGAGGTGTGACACTATCAGTTTTAGTCTGTTTCAGTGCCTAAACTTTCAAATTTTTTTAAAATTTAACGTTAAGTTTTGAACGGATACTAAAATGAAACAAAAATTAAACTTTAGGTATAATTTTGAAAAATTTAAAGTTTAGGTACTAAAACGAATCAAAATGATAATTTAGGTACTGAACGCGTTGTTTACCCAAAAAATAAAATTAACTGTTTCAGCATTGATATACACCTTATTTATTCGTCAACCTGTAAAATTAGAAACTGCGTAAACAAAACTAATTCCTAAGAAAAAGAAGAATGAAGGAAGAAGGAATCGAGTTGAATCATTCAGTATTTTAATAAATTTTTCTTTTGAATTTCGATTTATTAATTTCATTTCGATGTAGCCTTGCAAAAGCCCAAATCAGAAGCGAGAAAGAACGAAAGAAACAGTTGGGATTTTGATTAGATTGGTGTTGGTTTTGGAGGGGCAATCAAAATTTGGATGAATTGCAGCAGATGATGATTTTTTGTTGCTCTCTGAATCTGAGAGATGCGATTCAAGCTTGTCTTCGTGATTACGATAAGCTTCTCTATGTGGCCGTCATCCTCATTTACATCCAAGTAATTCCACTACCTCCTCGTTGATTCTAACCCTAATTTACAGTTAATCGGGTTTCCTTATGCGTAATCTTTTCATTTTTTCGATTGATTCAGATTGGGTGCGCCTTGACCGGATCCGTCGGCGCATTGTACAACGGCGTGTTGTTGGCAAATTTGGGCATAGCCTTGTTTGCTTTGGTCGCCATCGAGAGTGGCAGTCAAAGCTTAGGCCGAGCATACGCCGTTTTGCTCTTTTGCGCCATTTTGCTCGACGTTTCGTGGTTCGTCCTCTTCGCCCACGATATCTGGAACATGTCGAAAGAGAGCAACGGCGACGGGGAAGAAGGGGAAAATCGTGGGATGTTGTTCATTTTCTCGGTGAGATTAACGCTTGCGATGGAGATAGTCGGGTGTTTCGTGAGATTATGGTCGTCTATCTTGTGGTTTCAAATATACAGGCTTGGGGTTTCGCATGTAAGCAATGGTGAAGATATAAGAGACCCTGATTTTGATTTGAGAAATGGGTTTTTAGCCCCTTCAACTCCCTCAAACGCCTTACTCAGACAGTGCTCTCAAAATGAATCCGATGAAGCTTTAGGGGGCGCCATTTATGATCCTCCTTATTACTCTTCTCTCTTTGAGGATCGTCAGCAACACAATAGGAATTCTTTTCTGGTATAGATGCAGCTCTTCTTTTATTCCTTACCTATTGCATTTTGTCCATCATTTTTAATTTTTCATTTTCGTTTTTGCAGGGTCATGATGGTATTGGTGGAAGTGGATCTGCTCCTGATGCTGAAATTTCTTTGCTAAAGCCATCACTTGCTTCAACTCTTCGGATTATCGATGTAAGCTTCTATCTGTTATTTCCCTCCGACTTTTGGCTTTACACTTTTTTCCCTTTTTGCAATTGGTCCGCTGGCTATTACAGACTGCTCAATTAAGAAAAAGTCACTCCGACTTCTATGTAGATTTGGATTCTAGATAGTAATACTATATGGGAGTCATTTAGTTGTTTGAAGTTATCAGTATTTTTCTGCTTGGACTATTTAGGTCCTTTCTTGTTGACCAAATTTCATAAAGTTGAAGATTGACTTCTTCTTCGGTGAATGTTTATATAGGGAGGCTTTCTGCTTATTGGTGTGATTGTTGAAATTTATTGGCATTACCTATCTTGATTGTCAGCTTCAAAAAGGAACTAGATTTTGATTACTAATAATGTCAATGAAATTTTACAGATTCTGGCCTATATCTCATAGGATTTCACTGTTTTTTTTTCATTTCTATGATAAAAGTGTTTTTCTATTTCTTTTCTTTTTGGCTCAAACCTTCATAAATTTAGTGTGTTAGTTTTCTGGTGACGCTGATGAGTGTGCTTCTTTTATCCTATTTGTAATGTATGGTTTATTCTTGTAGTTTTTTAGGGTAAAGTACACCGGAGGTCACTGAACTATACGAAAATGAATGTTTGGTTATTGAACTTTTAAAAGGTACAAAATGGACATTAAATTTTATTGAAAATGTTACAAAATGATCATTAAATTTGTTGAGCTTTTACAATTAATCATAACATCAGGGTGGCCAAAATGACCATTTTAGCATAATAGTCCAGTGACCACCGGCATACTTTACCCTTTTTTAGTGGCTTGTTTAATCCTTCATCTGATCTCTATTTTTCATCAGGAGAAACCAAAAAGTAAATAAATCAATAAATTAAAATCCAGTGCTCGTAACCTATCACTAGTATTTCTCCATTCTTATTCAGGAATGAAATGTATTAGGGGAGAGAGATTGAAAAAACTATAATTAAATCATGTGTCTCTAACCAGTTTGGAAGGCAGTGAGTTACTTGCATGGGTTCTGCTTTTCTTGTTTTGTTTTTCATGGATTAGTTGTCTACGGCTTTGGTGATCCTTAAAGCTATTTCTTCATCAACTTGGCTATGCAAGCTGTTAAAATTATGGGTTGTCAATACTTAATAGCATGCTTCATCTCTTAATGTGGGTTTTCTGTGCTAATTATTGGTTTATAGTTATTATGTTTTCTTAATTACCAGTCGATCACTTTGTTCGGTGCCTTTACCTGCTGAACTCAACCATTGCAGGAGGAGAATGCTACGAAATTGCCTCAGTTGAATCTGAGCACGATATCCGTGAAAAATTGAGTTTATCATTATCATTTTGCTTAAATTTTTTGGGTATGGTGGGAGTGAGATTTGTACAGGTTCCTACTTTGTCATTCTTTTGGCAGGAAGCTGAAGGTCTTCGAGTTAGAAAAAAACCCAGCCAACGGTGTGTTGATAGAGTTTTATAAAGGTTTTTTTTCCCTTTTATATTTATATTTGAGAAAAGTAGTGAGTTTGGTATGAGATAGAGATATAACTTGCTTTGCATTTGCCTTTTGTTGCCTGCCGTTTTGGGCAATTTTGCTAAACATTTTTCAAGTTCCCCAGGTTATGAGAGTTGGTTGATAGTTTCGAAAATAATCAGATTATCATTTGATACACTGAACTAGTCTATGAACTCAGATAATCGTGTCCGGAAAAGTAATCAGTTATGCCGTAAAATTGAAACGAGGTTGTGGAAATGTTGATTTTACGGCGCAATTGGTGACTTGTCTGATTAACATTTTCGGACACAATTTTGCTGACCACTTTCCGGATTAACCGAAAGGAAAGTAATCAATTACGTTTGCATAATGCAGCGATCGATCTAACGCCATGGAGCTGGAAATTGTCTGTGTACCGGCAATTTGTTGCAGGCAACCCTCCAAAATACCCCCAGAGCTCTGGCTGAAAAAATGGTTTTGGATATAAAATTTGGGTAAAGTACACAAATGATCTCTCGATTATAGGATTTTTTGTTAAGTCCCTGGATTATTAAAAGTTACAAAATAATTTTCTGACTATAGAATGTATTTTATTAAGTCTATCGACTATTAAAAGTTATAAAATAGTTACTCGACTATTCATAATGTTTCAAACTTGTATTTTCTATTAAAAAAAAGTATGGTTGTATAAGTTAGACGTTAACATGATGACTGAGATATGATGATTGTTTGAGATATTAATATTATATTTTATAATATCACAACCTGTAAATTAATGTTCAATTTGGAATATTTTTTTAACAGAAAAAATGAGTTTGGAATATAATAAATAGTCAAATGATTAATTTATAACTTTTAATAGTCAAGTGATTCAACAAAGTAACTCTATAATTGAATGATAATTTGTAACTTTTAATAGTCGAATGACTTAATAAAATAATACTTATAATCGATGATCATTTGTGTATTTAACCTATAAAAAGTAATACAACATTCTCATTTATTTGCTATATTTTATAATAAATATTTTTAACAATAAAATAGAGATTTTAACTTACATTCATGTAAATCATTTAAAGTAACAAAGTATACTTTTTGCAGTATCTTTAACTTTAAAAGTATTTAAAAAAAACATTTTAACTCAATAATGGTGAGCACTTTCAAAAGTATTTTTGGAACTAAAAAGAATACAAAGCATGTGTGCCTTTTAAGTCAAAAGTATTTCATAATAATCTTTTGAAAAGTACTTATAAATAGTTTGACAATAAAGTTAAATATTTGAAATTTGAAATTATTAAAAATATTAAAAGTTCTAAGAAATTATTAAATTAATTTTATATTTGTAAGAAAGAAGTTATCTTAACGTTTAAGAGATTTGTTGTTATCGCTTGATATCTAGATTTGAGCATTGCAAATGTCAAAAGTATGATCATTCATTATCAATTGGTTAAATCTTCAAACAAATATTATCTTGTATTTACTTCTGATTTTTCAAAAAAATATTAAATTAAACATTTTAGAATTATAATATTTTAAATTTTACAACATAATGTCAAACAAAACTTTTATTTTCTTCGAAACATTTTTACAGTAATTATAAACAGTTAAATTTTAATTTAAAACTGACATTAAGATCCCGTTTGGCGTGGCTTTTCAAACGCACTTTTAACTAAAAAGCTCGTTTTGACCGTAACATCAATATCAAATGGGTAAAAATATATAAAAAAAAATTACGATAAAAACAGTGGTTTCAAACCAATCGCAAAAATTAAAATTTGTAACTTTTTCATTTTTAACTTACATTTGAAAATAAATTATAACATTACTCTTATTAATGTATAGACTCCACTCAATTATATATATATATATTATTTTAATAATTTAATATTAACATCCTTAAAAATAATTTATTACTTAATAATTTAATATTAACATCATTTAAAAATAATTTATTATTTAATAATTTATTACCTAATAATTTATTTTATATTTTTATTATAATTTAAGTGATATATTTTATATATCATAGTATTAATAAATATAAATATAGTTTAAATTATATATTTTTAATTTATAATATAATGTTACATTTTATCTTTTCAAACACACACAGATACTAGTGCTTTGGGTATGGATATGGTCAATTTGTTCCAAGCTTCCTATATCTTTTCAACATTCCCGGTTCATAGCAACCAAAGGAAGCATTAATAAGTAGGGTTCTCCGATCAGAGAACCTGAACCGTACATGTACGACATCCATAATTCATGATGCATTCGAACCTCAGTATCGCTGAAAAATAAACTCAAAAATATGACGATAAGAACGAACCATATGTCATTCAAATTAATGTTCTCTTACTATTCATATACGTTCTCCAATGCAGAAATTCAAATAAGCATGGCACGGGACCGATTCATTTTTACCATAATCAGTTCAGCTCACCGAACAAGCATAACCGTACCTCAATCCATCTATGTAAACCCGCAACATGAAGAATACTCCCCTATGAACAAATATTTCAGGAGGCTATCTCAGATATTGCTTGAAATCCTTCTCTACCAGCTCGAAAAGGCCACATTCTACATCTCTTCATTAACTAGGAATGAACTGATAAGTGTTCTAATGATAGATTTTTTATGGAGTCAACATCCTCTAATCGTTGTCTGAATCTTCTTTCTGGTTTCCTCAAAGTTACCAAACTGTTTAGATTATGTCGAAGCAGTAGAGAAGAGAATTGCATCATCGAATTCATTGCAGTTACTGCTTATTACCTTCAGTTTATCTTTGAGGCAAAGAGATGGGGTGGACAATAGAGCTACGTATCTGACATTACAAACAAAATTTTAGGAGAATAATTCGTGCACACATGCATGGACGCACCACACACACAGACAGGGAGAGAGAGCCTTACTCGCAACGGCTTGGTTCATCAACATCGGTGATCTCGTTTTTCAAGCCACATCTTAATTTCACCTGAAAGGAAGAAGACATTTATTGAGAACAATTACAACAATTTGATAGTCAACTTCATGATTCATTCTTGTTTTACTTTTGCCTACATCTCACTCGTGAAATAGTCCATAAGGAAATTGGAAAATAAAACCATTTCATTATTTAACGGCCCTGATCATTGGAAAAACCATGTAAGAGGACAGTACCTTCATGCTTCGATCCGGGCCATTCCAACACTTATCTCCATTTGAAAATACCATCATCTTGTATCCGTCCTCAAATTTGTCCCAACGTCTAGTATAACCCAACAAAAAAATAACCACAGAAGTCGAGTGAATATGAAACTTGTAAATGTTCAGTTGAAGAGAATTATGAAGGTATCCTACATGCATTCATCCATGCACATCAGGACAAGCACAATTACACTATCTATATTACTTATTATACCAGTACATGTTTGACATAGGTGGTTCCGTTTATTTTTCCAGAGTTTTTTCCTATATTTAGAGAGTAGGAGCACAAAACACATGTTTTCACATATGAGTAGTGCAAGGGAACTGTAAGGCATGTACCATAAACATGCACGAATAAGATACCACCTTACTAGCTACAACCTGGAAAACTACAGTTCCAAACAGATTCCAATATATCCTAGGAATTCAAAGCAGCAGGCGAATAAATAGACCAATAATTCTCCAAACAATGATTGATTAAAAAGCTAAGAGATTCAGCTCTAGCATTGACTTCCAAGGTAATAATAAAAATTTCGATAATCTCACAGTTGATAAAAAGCAAATAGATTTCATACGGTATATTCTATCCCTTTACATCCCAAATGACACCTTAAACTTTCCACTTTATAAAACAATGTTTCTATCAAGAATTTGTTTTCCATATACTAGTTAGAAAAAAGTTAAACTCCGTAAGCAAGATTAAGAAATTGGCATGTATTAATTAATTAGTTAATTTTTTAATGTTAATAAATATACCTTTTACCACACTCATCGACCCTTTAACCCTATAATGGAGTCTAAAATGTATGAGATGTTTTTCTTTAAATCAATTAGAGAACAAAATACCGTCTCTTTCCCTGCCTTCGGTGATCCTCTCTCTCCTTAGACAAGGTTCGAGGGCCAGTACCCAAAGAAATTATACAAAAATTAGAGAACAAAATGAATGCAAGAAGCCTACCCTAAATTGGTTTTTGAGTAGCCCTCCTCCTGAGAAGCTTGCTTGTACGGGCAGACTTTGTAAACATACCTGAAGCCAAAGGTCTCAATCATAAAAAGTGAAATAAATGGAAATTATTATAGCAATAATTTTGTTTGACAATCTATGCAATAGAGTATCTACTGCAACAAGAAGTTCTTAACTTGTTTTGCTTGATCTCAAAACAACGATCATAAAACGCGTAGAACTCCTTCTCGGGTCCTGTAATATTAAACACAATTTCAGTTTATTGAAGCCAAAGCAATACAATTCTTTTTCACCATTAGTCACTGAAAGAGTTTACCACATACCAAAATCATGTTTTAGCTTTTGTGTCAAACTTGATATCCTAGATTGTATTTTAGACAACTTGGCACTGGCTGCATCATATTCCTTGCGTATATGAGCTGCATCTGAACACGTAAAACATAAAAGGTTGCTCATTTCCATATGCTCAAATAAATTTTTAGCAATCATTAGTGGGAGTTCAGCATATACCTGATATATTCACTGGAGTTTTGAATACATTAACAGCATCAAGAACATTCCTAAATGTTCTTTGTATCTTCTCCAACCAAGACTGGTTATTTGAGGCGCTTGTTTCTAACAACATATTTAACAATAAGCTTAGTGATTGCATTAGCCCAGCTTAAAATGAAATATCAACCCAAAAAGAATTGCACACCTGACAAGTAAGATTCATCATCTGTGTCATATTTGTACGAGGTTGAGTCATCATTATTCTCCTCTTCATAACGATCATCCGGTTCATCATCTACATCATCTATATTATCATCATACTTTCCAGTTTCCTCCTCATCACTATCAGAAGCGTAGCTGTCATATTCTTCCTCCTCATGTTCGTCCTTTTGCATTTCTTCATGGCTGTCATCAGTATCATGTTTTGTTTCCCCTTGATTCTCAGTACTTTCCCCAGTCCAACGGGAAGCAATACGACGACCTAACTCTTCCCTCGACAATCCCTCTGTAATTTCAGATGCATCACTCTCCTGCAGACACCAGAGAGCAATTATGTGGACGAAGAAAGATGGAGTACCTCATAAACTTGTCAAGTTCATGCATGGACAGACTATTGAGAAACTTTTTGTACGGCTGCCTATTATAAAAACTATACGCTGCTTAAGTAAAATGTACTGAAGTAAAAGCCCTAAAAGAAAACTGTACTTCATAATTCACATATACTGAAAACCAAAAATATGCTACTCATGCTTGTTTTCATCCTTTCATTCTCAGTCTCAGACCCTTTCTTAACCCTACAACAGAATTTTTTTTGATAAGAATTGAAGGCCTCATTAAAAACCCCTTTCATGATTAATGGGACTCAAAACCTACAACAGAAAATTACAGAAGCTGCTACTTGTAATAAGGAATAAAGAATCCGGAACATAACCAAACGTGTTAGCTGATACAGTGGATCTTAAATCAACCTGCTTCTACTTCAACTCTATCATAGAGACAATTAAAAGAAACAAGTTTTGCAACAGTGCAGGATAACATGTTTACAATTAAAACCAAAATGTCAGCTAACATGTTGCTATATACCTCTTTGTGAAACCATAATTAACGATTTCATCTTTCTTTGTCCTTTGTGAGCTATTTCTGGGACAACTAATCTCCGGCTTCTAATACAATTTTTGTTTATTATTTTAAATGGCGCAACCATGACCCTTGGGTTAGATAGATAAACTATTCAATAGAACTTTTTCAACAACATGCTTCAATTTCTTATTTCTGGAAAGCAACTTAACTACTTAAGGGGGCTTATCCCTCAAGACCAATCTGACAACAATTTCTTCAATAGATTATAGCATAATATCCTATAAGCTTTTGACAAAAAAAGGAAAGTTGAGTAGTAGAGTAAATTACTGTTTTCTTGTCTTCACCAGATGGTATTTTGCTTCCGGCATCTTCATCAACTTCAGTTGACACCACAGAATCTTCATTGTGTCTTGGCAAAGAAGGCTCATGCTTGTTTTCTAACAAATGCTACAAAACAAAGCAAGAACATGCCATTCTCTAAGATAGAAGTAGAAAAGACAAGCATTCTGGAGGTTCTATGTGAAAGAAATGACCATTACAATATACCACCTCTTCCTTATTAAGAGGAACTCCTTCGGTTTTGGAAATATCACTGTTTTCAACTTTGTTTGATGGATCGCCTTCATTAACATCTACTTTGGGGTCCTGCCAAAAGTCGATAATAACAAAAACAATGAAAAAACAAACAGAAGTAATAAAATGTGCACTCATGTAAAGACAATTCAAGAGAAAATTAAAAAACAACCAAACCAACCTCATTTACAGAAGAATCCTCGATGTTACCAATTTTATCATCATTTGTACTTTCTTCGTGTTTGTCTTCACTGCTAGCTTCTTGCTCAACTTTCTCATTTTCCACCTTTCCTTCCTCCTCAGCTTTGCCTTTTTCTCTTAAAGCTTCCTCAGCTTTTCTTTTCTCATTTTCTTCCTTCTCTTTTTGCAACCTTTCTTTCTCCTCTGCCTTCTCTATTTGTTCTTTATGTTCTATACAAGGTAAACAAATAAATTATGTTGCAATAAGCTCAAACATTAACATGTACAAAGAAAAATGTAGGTACAGTTTGTGGACCCTTAGGTCAATTTTTAACAGCAAACAGATGAAAACTTGATTATTTGAACCCTCGACACACATAAAATGTAGGTTCTATTTGAAAAACTATAAATATTTCATGCATAGTTTTATTGTAATTATGTTTGATATATAAAGCCTACAACAAAGAGCAGTAAAATCACTAGATGGGTTTACGAAAAAAGAAAAAAGCAAAAAGCAATTTCTTCATGGATTGTCCTTGAAATGGTTTGGAAAAGGAAGAACATGAGATGTTTTAGTTAGAACAATAAATACCATGTTGTCAGACAATAGAAAATTTTGACTGCTTCTACCTACTTCACATTTTCAATACCTTTTAACTTGAATTAGTCAATTGTTTAGTTCCCTAATGAACAATCATCCACAAAGAAGGTAAATCTTTGATATTTAATTTTTGATGCATTAGTAATAAGAGTAAAGGCTGGTTTATTTTATTAGAATCAAGAGCAGTTTATAAATACACCTTATAAAATCATAGACACCATATTAAGGCAGTGTAAAATTTGGGATCTAGTATTGTGATGACATTTGCTATTAACACATGAGATATTTTACTTAATGAACAGATGAGAAAAACAATGAAATGATCAATGAGCTTCAGGGACAAAATCTTGTTTCAGGTAAACTATAAACGTATGACATGCCACATATTTGTAGTTACCTTCTTCACATGACATTTTAGTGTCACTGATCATGAAAAAGCTCACACCATAAACAACCACAACAGAAAAACAAAACAAAACACTTCAACAACATACACACGGAATCCAAATCAGACTAAGTTCAAGATTGCCTCATCCACAATGGTAACACGACAAGTAGGACGGAATCTTCAGAAGAAAATGTTACCTTTAAGCTGTTCAACAATGTCCTTCAATGATTTCTCCTCGTTTTTAAGCTTTGCTAGTTCTGCTTCATCTTTAGCTAGACCTACTTTAGCCACTTCAATTTCCTCCTCTCTCAATGTAATCCCCTCCTTATAAGTACTGATTTTTTTCATCAGCCTATCTCGAGCCACTTTACCAGCCTCCCAACACGTACTGGGGCACTTCACTTTACCATCGTACTCATCACTCCCATCACAACAATCTGAAGATAAAGTACAGTGAATAAAAAGCAACCAAAAGGGTACATACAAAAACAAGAGTTCATTGTTGCAAAATAAAATAAAATAACATCAGCCATTTTCTACTAGGCTGTAAACGAGCAGAGTAGAGCTCAATTCGAAAACTCATGAGTTTAAAATTGTCAAGCTTGACTCGAACTCGAACCTTATGTACATGAAAACCATAAATGTTAATAATATTAATAATTTAATTTTAAAAATCTAAAATTTTAGAATTCGAGTTCGAGCTCGAGTCTATTTGAATGTAACCTGAGCTTTAACCGCGTCAATCTCAAATAACAAGCTATATGTCTCGTCTCGTTTACAGCCCCATTCTCTACTAGTGAAATGAACTTACCACAGATCCCATCATTGACTCTAGAGGAAAACAAGAATTGCGAAACATGTCCAGCATTCCGGCAGTAGAATTTCGCTGCTGGGCAGGCGGATGTACCTATGAGAGAGAGAAAATGAAGGTTAAATAAGGAAGATGACTTATACCATGTCAAACCCATTAAATCAAAAGGGGGGAAAACCACCAGGCTCGTCCGTGCCGTCGGGACAATCGCAGAAATCATCATTGAGCTGAGATTTGGAGAATTTTCTGGATCCGTCTTTGCATTTAACGGTGTCCGACGATGATTTGTAGTAATCCAAATCTGGGTATCATTCATATAAGCAATTATCAGCATAAGTAAACGAAACAATGAGAAATCCGTTGGAAAATCGTTAGAAAAAAAAAAGAGATTGTACAAGACCTTGAGGAGAAATTCCATGGTAAGGGTGCTTAGGAGCAGAGGAAGACGATGATCTAAGAAATGAAGCTATGAAAAATACAAGGAGAATGAAAATGGAATGTGATTTCATCTTTCTAATGCAAAAAAAAATCTGAATCAAAAGCTTTCGCAAAGCCAGTCGGAGAACGAATACTAGTCGTCGTCTACAGCTTCCAACTGGGGATCTGTGACGGGGCTTTGCCAGGGCTTAAAATCTGAAGGACGTGATTTCAGAAACAAAACGGCATCGTTAATAAGAATTTAATATCACTCTAATAATTAATCTAATCTAATTACAATTTTATTTTACATATATTAATTTATTTTACTTTTGTGGCTGATAATTTGAATATGTATAAATAAAATACACAATCTAAGGGTAACTCATGTCCGGCAGCTTCAACGTCGAACTCTGGAACTTTTCGTAATTCGTTTTTACCTGGAGGAGGCGTTCCGCTCCACCTTCTTCAAGCTCATTCAAATTTAAGGGTCACTCATTCTAATTTTATATTAAACTCCTTGTAAAAAGATAAATGTAAAGATAAAAAACAATTTAATAAAATTAGAATAAACTAAGGTGCATACCGAACGAATAAATAAGAAAAGTAAGAGGCCATAATACACCTAAAAAACCATGAAGAAATAAGAGAAAATGATAACTGAAATACCAAATATATTATTTATCCTAAAAATAAATTTAAAATGACACGCAAATATTCTGAAAATAGCATTAAAAAAGTTTTAAAAACAAATAAAGAGATAGAGGCCCAAGCCCAAACAACAAGACATTAGGCTCTTTTAGGGTTTTTCTCCACGAGTTTCCACTATATATACCCTCAATATCTACTCCCTTCTCTGGAACAAGCTGCCGGGTTAACTCGTATCTTCTTCACAATTTTCTTAGTTAGTTAACGCAAATTTCCGAGTTCGATTTAACTCGGTGTATAGAAGGCCTAGTAATTGCAATCCTTTGATCTTCGTATACATGAATGGATCAGGGGATCTATCGTTAGGCCAAAGCAAAGGTTCGCTGTATACGCAGTTTTCCTCTGTGTATGCTCTTCCTTTAGCTCCGATTCTTCTTCTTCTGGGATTTATTGGTGACAAGGTAGATACATTTGTTCAGTATTCTTTGATTTTTTTTAGAAATTTGGAGGAAAATGATTAGAGGATGATGAAAAAGATCAGACGGATTCCCATTGATTTATTCCATGAGAACAGTACCAGCTACTTCTGACTCTTGAGCTTTTTCCTCTCTTTTTATTGAAAAATTAAGGTTTTGAAAATTGATTGCCCGTGATGTGATAAAATATTTGCTACTCTTGATGGTATTTCTTACCATCTGATGATCATTTCCACCGAGATCTCTGAGGCACTTTTGATTATTTTTCCACTTAAATCTGTTCCAGGTTATTTCTTTCGAGTCTTCTAATTGTTTTTTATTTTGATTTTGGAAAAAAAGAGGATGATGAAAATATTCAGACGGATTCCCATTGATTATTCTATGAGAACATTACCAGCTACTTCTGACTCTTTGTTATATTTCGTAAAGAAAATATTCATAAGAAAAAATATATATAAAATTAACGTGAAGGGTAAAAAATATTAATAGTGATTATAAGTTGAAGTTTTTAAGTTTACTTGTTTGTTAATAGTTATAAAATGATTTTATTATTAAAATTTATAAAATGATTTTATTATTAAAATTTATAAAATGATTTTTAAGTAAAAGTTATAGAATGATATTTTTTATTATTAAAAATTGTAAGGTTTTATTAACTACAGTATGTTATTTTATTGTCTTTTAATTGTTAAAAATTATGAAATGGTTATTTAATTAATTTTGTGTTCTAAATTTATCTTGTTTTGTTAAGAAATTATCAGTTATTTAAACTTGATAATATTTTAATAATGTTTATTAGTATTGTCATTGTGTATATAACCTTTTATGTACAGTTTAAATAGTTTTAAGATTAAGTTTTATCATTTTTTTAATTAATGTGTATGTATTTGAGTGTATGGATAGGTGAATAATTATTTTGTCTGTTATTAATTAATAGATTTAGTAAAATAATATTTTATTATAGATTATTTGTATATTTTTTATTTATTTGAAATGAATAAAATAAATGTATGAATATTCTTTCAATATGATTTGACAGAAGAAAGAATCGATAAATAAATGTATTGTTCATGAATAATAATAGTAATAGTAATAATAATGGACAATACTGAATATAATAAACATCAACGAAGAAGATAATAATATCATAAAACGAAGTCGTTTTGAACTGCAACAAGGTTTCTTATTAGTTTTCCCCCTTTTCTTTTTCAGAAACAGAATACTGCATAATAGTAATAATAATGGAAAAAAGAAAGAAAAAGGGGGTAATAAAAATAGAGAAACGAAACCTAAAAACCCAACTACTAAGAGGTAAAACACTAAATAGAAACATGTCCATTCATAGCATGTGGTCACCCATGGATCTGTGATCTATAGCAATTCTAAAGCATCAAAAATTTCACTTAAATAATCTCACACCCTGTGCAAGCATCATATTCTACAAGAGACCACAAACCACCGCAAGGGAATTCACGAAACGGCTACTGACCCATTTTGGGTATCTCCGGATTTTGTCTCTGGGCCGTTTTCCGATACCTCTGCATTACTGTTCAGGTGAGCGGTACTGGGTTGATTGATCAAACCACCGTTTGTTGCTACATCGTTCCTTTCAACCGCAGCTTCTGGCTTTCCTTCCCACACCTGTGATTTTGAAGAACCGAATCAGATCAATTTTCATGGATAAACAAGCACAGATATAAAAAGAACGCAGAATTTGGCCTTGAAGTGTTTTGCCTGCTTTTGCGACTGATGTTTAGCCTTTTTCTCCTGAATTGCTTTCTGGCGAACCTCGTAAAATTCAAAGTCGTCAAGAATGCAAGTTTTGCTCGAATGCTCCTTGAAGATTTTGAGCAACTTAAGCCCTTGCTCGAGCTCAATCTGCAAAAAAACCAAATGAAAGTTACCCTGACTCCGTAAAAAAAGAGAGCTCTTTTAGGAACAAAGAATACCTCTTGTGTATCCCTGCTATTCGTGACAGGCTTATTCTCGTTGTTCTCTAGGGTAATGTGCTTCAAGGAGTTGTTAGGTATATCCTTAACGATGTGCCACTTTAGTGGAAAACAACCTGTCCACTTGTCTTGTTGCCAGAATTCGACGTTCTTCTGAAAGTCGACAGGCCCTACCATTTCAGCAAGGCCAACAAATTGCCCGCTTGTATTGACCTACAAAAGGTTTAAAAAATCATAGAAATTAAGGGCAGCAACAAACAAGGAATAAATTGCCAAGATAGATAAGATGCGATAAGACACTAACCGAGAAGAAAAGAAATATAGGGCAATGAGCAGATTTCTGCTGAGCCTCCTGGTAAGCTACATCAAGCTTTTTGTTACCGTTTGGTGTGCTTGCCCAAACATTGTACTTGATGCTCTTGTGCACATCATCCTCGCTGTAAGATTTAATAACAAAGAACTTGGCATCATCAAAATCCACAGGGAATTCCTCTCGGTTATATTGTTCACGGTCTGGAACAATGTATTCCTTTTCTTTCTCCTCATCCGAGGTTCCATCTGCGGGAATATTTTGCCCATCAGTAGCAGCTGAGACATGAGTTGCACCCTTCTGGTTCTTGGGTCCCTTGGCCCTAGGCCCCCTGTTCAATTCATTAAGACTGTCCATGATATCATTGTCAGAACCAAAGTAACCATTGTCTCGTCCCCTTGGTCTATACTTGTTGTCAGGCAACCAACCCTTTCCATTTGTTCGCAAATCATAACCATTAGATCCAAAGCCTATTCCAGATCTGAACGTGTTACCATACTGGTTATATGGTTTGTTCGGGTACATCCTTTTAATATAACCATGTGCAGTGCCCATTTCGGACATTGGCCCAGGATGATGCAGTCCCTACAAATTCAAAGGTACAATCAATAGAAGAAAAATTTTAGAAGAATATAACACCAAAATAAGTAAGATCCATATTGTGTTAAATACTTATTAGACAAGCCAAATCATACATACCATATAATTAGAATTAGATTGGAAGTTTTGATTCCTTGAAGATGGAAAACCATTTGCTTTTGAAACCGACTTGTTTATTCCAGTGTTTGTCACAGGCCTGTGCTGTCCATCAGGATACATAGAGCCATCATGCCATGGGATAGGATACCGAAACCCATCAAAACCATATCTTGTATTCTGATATCCGGAGGTAGAAAAACCAACTGACGGTGCTCCCTTTCCATAAGAATTATTAGAATTAAATGAGCTGGGATATGATGCTTTTATTGCAACTGGACCATTATTGCCCTTCACACCGCCTCCATTAGCAATTCCATTGGAATTCAAATTCACCGTTTCAACAGGTGAGGGCTTTTGATCAGCAGCAGCAGAGGTCACAAGCTCACCATGGGGTGGAGCAGCAGGGTTTGGAGTGAATGGACCACTGGACATAGTAACCGGCTGGAAGAAGGGAGGATACTGGTAGTGCTGAGGCCCATACAGTTGACCATCACTTCCCAAAGTCGGAACTGGGGAAGTTGCAGGTGAATATGGTCCATATGGTGCATAGCCATAACCATGGTACATAACAGATCCAGTGTCCGTATATACTCCCTGACAACACAATATTACATAAATTTAATAAAAGATATAGCAGCTAACATTTACTTCCAGTACAAGGAGAAAATGAGGACTCACATTAGTCATGTCAACTCCATCAGGATTCACATATTGTGAATACTCATCCCAGTCATTACCAGTGCCATCAAAGCCTGCGATACACAACATGCAGATGAAATCCAACTTTAGCTCCAATTATTTCATAATAACAGATCCAAAACCAAACGAACAGTTTGTTTGCTACCTCCATAGTAATAGGCAGATGGATAACCACTAGGAATATAACACATAGTTGGATCCACAAAATCGGGAAGCAAAGGCGTTGCAGATCTCTCAAAAGATGGAGCTTGGGTATTTCCAGCGTTGCCTGAATCAACAGAACCGTACTGATAAACAGAAGGCTGCAGAGAAAATAAATCACGCATTTAGATAACCATGATCCAATCAACCAAAAATAGATCCGTATTCTTTCCTACTTAATTTCGACTAAAACATCAGCATCGCACAGCAGAGTTTTATCCATACTAGCAATCAAAGTAGGAAAAGGAAGCTACCTTCTTGGTAGGCTCAGGAATATCCAAAGGCTTTGCTTGTGAATCTATAGACAACTTCTGCAACAGCTCTGCTGCTTCTAAAAGAATGCAACAAGTTAAAGAAAAACGAATTTTCGCGATTTAGACTCACAAATTATAAATAACAAGTCAACAACAGAGAAAACATTCCTTTTGCAGCAAATTCAATCAATCAATCAAATTGAATAACAACAAAATCAAAAGCTTCTGGAATACTCGAAAAAAGATCAACAACCATATAAAAGGAAGCAAACGGGGGCATCAATCTTATAAAATTGAGAACAAGAATCGTTAGAAACAGCAATTTCAATGCATATGAGGTGGATCGAAAAGCGTGAACACGTACAGATCTACACGAAAAAACACATAAACGAATGATCGAGGATACCTGCAGGGCAACTGTACGCCATCCCACACTCTAAACCCTAAAACGGATCCCAAGAGCTCAGATTTGGGGGTTTTGGAATGGCAAATTACACTCCAAGCCTCGAGGCCACAGCCGCCAAGAGAGAGCGATTTGGGAAATTAGGGAAAAGAGATAGAGATTTGAAAATCCAAATCCGGTGATTCAAAGAGCACCACGAGGCCTGTCTCAATTTTGCCTCTTTTTGTTTTGGTCTTCACCCAATCATGCTTTTCCAATGTGCTGTCATTCTACGTGGCGTTATTCTATTGGTTTGATTGCATCATAGATTCTTTTTTTATTAGTGGATGACATAGGTACGGTAACCGTCGGGGACGAAATTCGTTAGAAACCATAAATTAGTTCTAATTGGAAAGAAATCTTATCCACATTTAATAATATAAAAATAATCAATTTACTTTTATTAATATATAGATTGATGGCTTAATACTTTTGAGGCCTCAAACTTTTTTCCTTTTAAAGAAAAAACTAATTTTATTAGATACAAAAAATATCTCAAATTATAATAAAAATTAATTACAATTGTAAATCAAACATATAATTAAGGAAAAAATTATAATACATCAAGTAGATCTGATCGCATCAATAAACGATAAAAGAGGATCAAACTATTGAAAGACCACCAACAAACCGTAAATCAGACTCGAGCGATGTAAAAAGCTACCCACAAAAGCAAATTGGATAGTCAAATCCAATTTGAGAGTCCAAAGCACGGAATATCAACAAGATATCAGATAAACGTCATCTTAATCAGTCGTGACGATGTCAAATCAACCATTAGAAAAAATATAAATGAAAAAAATGAATAATCAATCGAAAAACATGTCAAAAGGAACACAGAAGAAAACATGTCATAAAGTTAATAAAAACGTGTTATAGAAACATACATATTGAAAACTAAAAAATAAAAGAAAATAGAGATACAATATAAGAAAAAGAAAAGACAATAAAAAAATTAATGATCGATAATCAATATTAAAATTGTTATCTTCGTCGATCAATAAAACAAAAAATAAAATAGATGAACAACACACCAAAGACAACTTTTGAGGCCTCAACTTAAAAAAGAAATCAATACGACCCCTATATTTTTAACTTGATTAAGCCTTTTGAAAACCTAAAAGAATTATCATTCTTTAACCGACTAGAATGATATAATTCATTTGACTAGCGATACGCATGTAAATGCTAGGAATTTAACTATTTTTTAAAATAGACTTATTTAATTAATTAAACATATCTACCACGATATTATTTACATGTGAACCTACATAATAACATCATAATGTGAGCCTACATAATAACATCATAATAATCAAACGATAATTTTCATCGGTCGAAAGGTGAAATAAAATAATTTTTTAGGTTTAAAAAGGCTTAATTAGATGAAAAAAAAATCTAAGAAATGAGGAAATTTTTTATTTCAAAAAATCGAAAATCTCAAGAACCATTAATTAAGCCTAGATTTATACATATTCTTTAACATAAAATTAAAATCAATATAACCCCACTGTTTTATTTTCTTGATTATATTATCATAAATTAATTCTTTTGTCAACTTTATTTTTAGTTTCACTTAATCGATTTAAATATTTTATTTTATTATTAAAATATAATTTCAATATCAACTATTGATTAGCCTAATAAAATAAGACATTAAATTTCCTAAACAATGTCCGATATTCAATAGTTGGAATATGTTCCATTGGTTTAGAACTCTTATAGCTTGATAAATTATAAAAAAAAATTAGCACATTGAATATAATAGAAATTTAATATGATTGCTTAATTATATAAATTTAATGACTGTTTTGTAATAATTCAATAAAATTTTGTAATTTTTAAAAATTTGATGATCAAAACGATCATTTTTGCATAGTCCAGTGATCTCTTTTACCCTTAAAAGAATTTAGTCATAAATGTTCTTTAATCCTTTTAAAATGTTTATGATCTTTCCACCATAAACCCTGCACTGAATGCTCAAATAAGGGCAATAAATAAAAATTATCACCAACCTATCGATTCCAAGTCCCTACTGTAGACACCCGTTTTTGTCCGGGTCTTATTTATATATATTTATTATTATTATTATTATTATTATTTATTATTATTATATTATTAATATTACATTTTACATATTTTTGCAGGCCAAAGCCCAATACAACAAGGCCCAACCTAGGCTTAACCCGAGCCCATCATATGATAACCCAACAAAATTAGGGTTTCAAAACCCTAAATCATCATCAGCCGCCCCAACAGAGGAAAGAATGCCACGCCGCCGTTACTGTTCCGGCCCACTCCGATGGTCCAGCCGCCGTCCCCACGTCACCACAGTCATCTACAGCAGAACCAATCAAACAGAAAATAAAACATCATCAACAGTGGACCAAATCAACCAAAAAACCAAACCCCAAATTAAAATACCAATAAATCCCTAAATATTCGGGATTTATATCTTACAAAATCAGAGAAAGCCATGAGCTATTCTAGACATCATCATCTCACCAAACGAAAAAAATCAACATGCAAAGCAAGATAAAAGGAAGGAAGCAAAGAGAACAGAGAGGGGGATAACAAAAAAAAGAGAGAGACTATTCGGGTTCAGGGAGAGAAAAAAAAACCAGAAAAAAAACAAGAAAAAAGAGAACTACTAGAACCAAACAAAAAAATAAAAAAAAAACAAGAGGGAAATAGAGAGGGAGGAGACCATACCTTGATCGGAGAAGTCATCGAGAAGAGGAAGGGTCACCGGTTTCTTGTTTTCTCAAAAGGTATACCTTAGATTTAAGGGTTTAGGGTCGGTTTTAGGTTAGGTAGGGGTGATTTTCGGGTTGAGGGTAAAGGAGGGGGTCTTTTGAGACTGTTTACTCCCTCCGACCGCCGGGCACTGCCGTGCCGGCCGTCATGGGCCTCCGGGATAGCCGCCGGTATGAGGCGGCCCTTTCTTCCCCGATGGGAAGAAGTTGAGAGAGTTTTAAAACTCTCTCACTTCTGTTTTCTTTGGTTGAGCGGCTGAGAGAGGAAGAAAATAATGAGGGATTAGGGTTTAGAACCCTAAATATGGTTTATGACCACACAGTCGAACGACGTCGTTCTATGGGGACCTTATGCGTGTTTTCGGATTGTGGGTTAACTACATGTTTGGTCCCCCATATTTTGTAATCTGTTTGTTTAATCATTAAACGAAATTTCTAATATTCTGTTTCAGACGTGTATTTTACAATATTTGTATTTCAGTCACTAGTTTGTTTACTTTGTCATGTTTATGTATGTTTTACTTTAGTATCAATGTTTTTAGTTATTTTATTTTAGTCACTGGTAGCTTGTGTTGTGTATTTTTGTTGACATTTGAATCTGGTCATATCATTTCTAAATATTTTATTTTAGTCACTGCTTCACTTTTGGTTTAATTATTAGTCGGTCTTAATGTTTTGTTTTAATTCATTTTAGTCCTGTATTATGTCTTTTAAATGTTTATATCTAGCTGTTAATTTCATGTAGTTTCATTTTGGTCATCAATTAATGATTTATGTTTATTCTATTTTGGAGTTGATATTTATACCTTTTCATTTTGATCCCTATTTGATCACTAGTGTGCTTTGGGCAAATACTTTGTTTTGAGCCCTGATATGTGATTTATTTCATTTTAGTCACTAATTTTATATATGGTGTATTTTCTTTGATGTTTTAATTCGGCCATGTCTTTTGTAGGATTTTTATTTTAATCATTGTTGGGCTTTTGGTTTAAGTATAGTTTGATCCTTTATCTTTCTGTTTATCTCATTTTGGTCACTAACAATATTTATGGGCTATTTTCATTTTTAACACCTGTATTATTTAATATGTGCAATTTGAACTATGGTAATTACTTCTTAGCCCTGTTAGTTTATGCTTTTACTAATTTAATCCATTATGTTTATGTATTTCTATTTTAGCCCTATTAATGTATGTTATGTCATTTTGTGGATATTTGACTTTAGACCCAATGTTTGTAATAATTTCGTTTTAGTCTCTGATTTCATATGATAGGTATTTTGGTAGATGTTCGAATTTATCCCTGATATTTGTGAATATTTTATTTCAGTCATTTATGTATGATTTTATTGTACTGGTTATTCGGTTATTGTATTATGTAAATAATGTTTTTAATTTCATTTAATGTAAATATTTTATTTGTATTTCCAATTACATTTATTCTCATTATATTTGTATCTATGTATGAAATATTGATTTTCGATTTTATTTTCAAGAATACATATGCGTAGAATGAGCGTGGAAAGTATCACTTGGTCGAAGTGGTGTGATCCGGTACGGCATTTTAACGACATAGAAACTTGAAATAAGTTGAGTATATTTTGCTAATTAATTTGTTCAAACGATGCAATGTGTTATTTTAAGTGACAATTTACTTTATTTTATGTGAATGTAAATTTCAAAATTTTAATTTGTATTCAATTCACGTTTTTAGTTAATCAATTTATTCGTATGTAAACATTGTTTTTAGTTATATTCGATTTGTATTTTTAACATAATCAATGGTAGAATATTCTTTTACGAATGAGAAATAGTTGAAATAGCTTTCCCGACGGAGGATTGCAAATTTCAAGATTTCTGATTGAGTTAAAGGATTTTCTTTAAATAATTCGAGGCAAATTAAATAAATCTCAATAAATAGATCATAGGTTAATTTTATATTCGATTTATCATTTCCATCATCACGACGATATGTAAGCGATACAGTACCAATTTTGGGCGCTGTGGGGGTGCTAATCCTTCCCCACACGTAACCGACTCCCGAACCCATCAAATCGATTTTCTGGTAAACGTAGACCCCTTTTGTCTTTAAAAATGATTTTTCTTAAAATTATTTTAAAAGATGTTTTTAGGTATTCGACCTGCCTAATCTAAAGGTCGATGGCGACTCTTTTCAATTTTATTCAAATCAATTCAAAATCACCCAATTTTTCCAAAATAAAGTCGTAATCGTTTTTAAAATAATATTTAATTGTTTTACCTAAAAAATGGTTATGACAGCTTGGCGACTCTGCTGGGGACTTTTTTTTAGAGAGTCAGGCTGTATGTCGTTTACATATTGTCATCTTGGTGGAAATTATGATTTCTAGTTTTTAGTTAATTTATGATCCGTTTATTGA